TGGATGATAAACATTTGTATCAGGTCAACTAAACATGGGCGTAGTAACAATATTTTTATACTACATTTATCCATTTTAAATATACTAACCTCACTCATTTGTAACAACTAAGGCAAAAATGTAACTAATTTAGAAAATCTTTTCAGGACCCCACCTTGATGTTTCGGGACCCCAACTTTGGGAAACACTGTGCTACACATTCAACTAACTGGCATCACTAGTTTTTGATTACTCGCGTGTCTTTTTCGGACCTTTTTTAAAAGGATGTCAAATGCATTTACACTAGAGACAAACATTGTAATGGACTAGTACAAAGTAATTGTACATAAATGTATTATTGCATTTTAACAGAATATCTAATCAGAATACAGAACTGATTTCAGAGGAGTTTAAGAGTCTTGAAGGTCAACGGGACTTTAAGAGTCATTTTCTTGTTTTTATCGAAGTAAAAGATGGGTCACAGGGATGTTCTCACTTCAGTTTGTTTCAGYGAGGTTTATTATTCATTTTCTCAGCCCAAAGTCTAGAAATTACTGTTTTAATTTGGCTTCAAGTCTGTCCAGTTTCAAATCAATGCGTGAGAGAGGCTCCTCAGCACCAAGCTGCAGGGGATGCGGGGAAAGCTGCACTCAYCATCACTTCAGTGACGTGACCGCGCTGGTCTGAGTGCCTGACATGTCTGTTTAAATTACTGCCACACAAATGATTTAAAGTGGAAAGAGTATCAGGAGTAATAATTTTGGTTCATGATAACATTTTTATCTTAGCAAGAAATCTTGCAACATGTTAGTTTTGAGATCTCGTGCCGACCCTGGTCTTCAGATTTTTACTGAGTGCCATTAGCAAATTAAATCTGTAACACTTGACGAAGAATACACTTTTAGAATCTACTTATCAGCAGTTTACTTTTCACTGTAACCAGAGTGTGTCCTTTTGTATCATTACTGTGATCTTACAAAGGTACCCCAGCACCATCAGCAGTCCCATCCAGCCTCTGATTGGCCAAGAGGAGAACCAGGAGTTTGTGCGGACACTATATGACTTCACAGGCAGCGACGCGGAGGACCTTCCTTTCAGAAAAGGTGAAGTACTCATCATCCTCGAGAAGCCAGAGGAACAGTGGTGGAGTGCCAAAAATAGAGATGGACGTGTCGGGATGATCCCCGTGCCCTACGTGGAAAAATTGGTACGGCCTCCTCCCCATCCTGGCCAGCCCACACACGGATCTCGCAACTCCAACAGCTACGGGATACCCGAGCCCTCCCACACCCTCGTAAACGCCTACGCCCAGCCCCAGACGTCTTCTCCGCTGCCTTCCGGCACAACTGGAGCAGTTATCAACCCTCTACCGTCGACACAGAATGGCCCTGTCATGGCAAAGGCCATCCAGAAACGAGTGCCTTGTGCTTATGACAAAACTGCTCTTGCTTTAGAGGTAACTTTTTTTTTTCTTTATTCTTCCTATTTATTAGATTTGTCTTGCTTTCAATCTTCTGAATTATAGTAGTGGTGAATATGTCCTATGCTTCTTTTTTGTATTTAAAGCTGCATCATATAAATCTTTTAATCACTCAAGCATTAAAAAGTCACATAAACTAAAGACAAACCAGTGTCTGTACATGAAAGCTCTGTCTGGAACCAATTAAACATTTTATTTTTAGTTACTTTATTACAGCAAGCTGTGGCAAAGCATAATTTGTACACACACACACCACCTACCCATTTGCATTTGAAAATACCAGAAATAAATTGTGTTTTTGTAGGAACCATTAGCTGATTGCTCACATAGTTACTTGACAAGTTTCTTTTGGTTTTTCAAGTCATAACAAGGTGAAAATATGTTCCCTTTCATAATAAAGCACTAACTAAAGGATCAAATTTCTTATTTTATTCAACCTGAATTTGATCAATTCCCCCCACCAAATAAAACATGCAGCAATGGATTGTTTTTCATTTGTAGCTATAAAACCAGCTATTTTCTTTTTTAATGTGTGGAAGTTAGTTGAAAAAAAAATTGCCAACTAATGCAAATAACTACAAAGTCACATTTTGCWTGTCCAAAGTGTAAATGGTTCCCAAGTTGAACACTTTTGTTGCTATTTTTTACTCTTGATTTGTGGTCACTTCAAGAGAATTYTGACAGAACAGTGGATACTGTGCTGCTGGTTGTTGTCACCTGTAGTATAAAAGTGTAAATGTTTTATGAGAATTAACTTGATTAACTTCTTTTTTTTTTAGCTAGATGATGTCAGCATGGTTGTTGCATGTGAGCTTTATAAAGATATTCTGATTAAGTGGGAAGTTGTATTAAAGTGAAGTGAAGGTTTATGAAGTATGTTTGTTTATTTTGTTCTTTTTTGCAAACAGATTCAAACACAAAGATAAGGGTTGGCGCTCCATGGTGAGACTGACCACAGTGTTGTGACTGTAGCTCCACTGAATGATTTGAATCGGTACCTTCACTTGTTTTGGCCTGACAGAAGCTTGCGGTCGCCTACTGAAACTAAACTGACCACAGGCTTGACAGCATCTTTGACTTTCGTATTATTGCAAAGTATTCCTGGCAATCTTTTCTTAAACGTGTTGAAACACGCTACGTTCCTGCTCAGAATGTGCCTGACACATGCAGTGAGACTTCAGTTTACTGAGCAGGCAGTGCTGCAGAGATTTCCCCAGGGGAAAGATAAAAATGGAAATCATTTTAAAGCACGCTTTGTTGCTTTTTTGTGACGTGATTGTTTGGAGGAAGTAAACTAGATTGCTAGAGTGGATACAGAGGTGCACTTGGTCTTCGAATCCTGCATAGTGTATGTTATGAACACATTGAATAAAGCAGGTCAGTGAGCTTGAGCTAAAAGATTGGTAGTTCTCTTTCTGCTTCACTCCCTTTTCATATTTTAAGTATGCCCCACATTTTACTTAGACTGACATTATGACAATGTAAACAAGACACATAAGCTGGTTACTGGTTTTTCAAGAGCTCCTTTTAAATACAGCAGCTTCCATTTATGTTATGACTCATAACTATTGATAAACTAGCGAGGAAGGGATGAGATATAAAGTTTTATTCGGAAATCATGCAAATGACTGTGTGAGCGAGAACTGAAACTGAAGTGTTATTTTGTGTCCCATTTGCTACTTTGTGTAATCATTGTGTAGTAATGGACAAACAGCTCCAGTAGCAAACTAGAGGCTGCAAACAAGTGACTGAAAGTGCCTTTTTTACTGGATGAGTATTAACAGTATCAGACAATTTGAACCTTTTCAACAAACCCCAAGCAAACATTCCTCCTGTTGTTCATGAAGAGACAAGAACTGTTTGTTAACTTGGGAGCACAATGCATCATTTTCAGCAACATTTTTCACATTTTTAACAAAGTGGCTGACACAAACATGGCATTTGTTTGCACATTTGATTTATTTTATTATTTTTTGTGACATTTTGTCATGAACCTATTATTGAGAATTACATTCTCTATAAAAGCAACTTACTTTTAAGAGGGTGTGTCTTCTGGTGTAGCCCACCGGTCCTGCACCAAACTGAGCACATGTTTTGGATTATGGCAGGGGTGTCCAGTCCTGGTCATTGCATGTTTTACTTGTTTCCCTGCTCCGACACACCTGATTCAGTGATTAAATTACCTCTGCAAGTTTTGCAAAAGCACGTTTATCACCCATTTATTCACAATAGCTGTGTAAGAGCAGAGAAATCTCATGCAGGATACTGGCCTTCCAGGACCAGGATTGGATGCCCCTGGATTAGGGTCTTAGTGTRGTGCTGTGTTTCACCCTTATGTCCAATTAACACAAATAAGTAAAGTGTACAGTTTAATTCTGTGTATATGTTTTTAGTTCTTTTCTTTGGAAGTAATGGTTTTGATATGCAGAGCTGTAGAAAGATGTGTAGTTGGGGAAACATTGCTTTGAAAAGTTTTATTACTGTCAGGAATTTTGCGTTTAAGGCATCGTCAGGTGCATAAGTGATGCTGGTGTAAGTGTGCCATTGTGTGTTCATTTATATTGGCATTTGATTTGACAGAGGTTTTGCTGTAAAATAAGATGTTACTGTGGCTTTACTCTACATTCTACCAAAATGCACCAGTTCTTTCCTTTTGAGATTTTGGTCAAGGAACTTAAAGTAACTAAACCCCAAATCAACTTGTTTATAGGTGAAATGTCTAAATTGTGCCTTTGATTGGATTATTTTTATACTTCTGTGCAGTTTTTGACATTTTTGTGTAAATTTGTTTAATTCTGCAATATTTATTCTATAGCTGTCTTAGTGCTGCCCTCTAGGGGTTGAATTGTGGCTACTGCAGTTGAATATTTCTGTTGGTTAAAATGGTACAGCCTGGTACATGCTTAGTTTGGGTATAAAAGACTCGGAGACATGCCTCTGCAGCAAGCCTGGAGTTGGGATAGCAAGAGTTTGTTACTGCTTTGAACATTAGCCCATGTTAGCAATGATGCTGCMAACATCACTTTGATACTCAGAAACTGGACACATTCTGTCCTCCGTTGCCTTTCAGCACCGGCTTCATTCATTGCTGAATCATCGCCTTGAGCCACGGTCTCGAATTGATGACCCTCAGGCCCGTTGGGCTCCACAGCCTCCCTCAACCTTGGGTGAGGTTGAAAAATCATCCACCAAGGCTAAACTACCTGTGTGGCTCTGGTTACTATCCATGTTTCAATGGAAAAGTCGACCGGTTCCCTACACATGTACACGTTCATAAATGAAGCAGGCAGAGGGAGGAAAATAGGCGTAGAGCTGAAGTGGGACACATGGATGTCAGCCTCTTCTCTCAAAACAAAATGAACAAACTTACTTTAGGATCCTCTTTGTGGTTCAGTATTTTTTTAAACAAAGTTTCTGTTCCGCATCATCTTCAATGTTCACTCATTAATAAATCCGTTTGTTGATGTTTAATCCTGCGAGTGGGACAATTCACCCACTATCAGTTTATCATTGTTGAGCCATTAAAGGGATCCTCGATTAGTTGTAACATTAGACTTTATTTTATAAACATATATTTTAAC